GATGTGAATTGTTGGCAGTGGTGGTTGTTTGTTGGTGGTAGAGGTTGTGGTGGGAGATGGTTTGATGGATGTGGAGGTGGTTTGCTGATGGTAAAGCTGGCATGGCAGTGATGGTTTGGTGGTTTTTTGGTGTTGGTGGATGTGATTTAGTAGAGGTAGAGGTAGTGGTGGATGTAGTTTGGTGGTGGAGGTGGTTTGGAGGAGGTGCAGATAGTTTTGTGGTGGTTAAGTTGGTTCAATGGTGGTGGGGGTAGTTTTGAGGAGATGCAGGTGGTTTAGTGGAGGTGAAGGTGGTTTGCTGGAGGTGGAGGTAGTTTGGTTTAGGCGGAGGTGGTTTTGTGATGGTGCTGATGGTTTGCTGGAGTTTTGTTTTGGTGAGGATACGGGTGATTTGGTGGTGGTTAGGTTGGTTGAGTGGTGGTGAAGGTGGTTTTATGGAGATAAAAGTGGTTTGGTACTAGTGGAGGTGGAGGTTGTTTGATGGTGGCAGAGGAGTAATTTTGTGTAGTTGGAGGTGGTTTTGGTGAAGGTGGGATGATTCAGTGGAGATGGAGGCGTGTTGGAGGAAGTGAGGTGGTTTTGTGGTGGTTAAGTTGTTTTGGTGGTGATGGAGGTGGAGTTGGTGTAGGTGGAATTAGTTTAGGAGAGGTGGAGTTGGTTTGGGGGAGGTGAAGATGGATTGGTGGAGGTGGAGATGGTGAGGATTGTCTAAACTTGATACTTCAGCCATTACAATTATGCCAGGCAGGTCCATTGGAGCCAATGGTCTTTTCCTGCCAGTTATTTTCACATATTATATCTTTATAATCAAATCCCGTAGATTTAAAGGAAAGTCAAAAAACTTATTCGTAATGTCAGGGGAATGAGTTATGAAGATAGTCTGGAGAAACCCTTCAACCTTGAAAGGAGGCCAGCAGATAACCTTATTGCGATCTGTGTGATTACAGTGACAAGGAATAACTCCATTTGGAACATTGCAACCTAAATCATGGAATTATGACAAGAAGCTACAGGTTAAAAGCAACAAAAAATGATTAGGAATAACATTGAATTGTTTTTCACATAGAGAATGATCAATTTACTGCAACATTGGCATCTGACACCTGATACTGACAGCCTCTAAGAACCTTCATGGCACCTTCTCCAATACAATTACAGGACATTTCTACACTTCAATCCTGTACTTAGGAACACAGGAAGAAGAGTGGTCATTCAGCCCCTCAAGTCTGCTCTGTCTTTCAATAAGATCATGGTTGATATGTGGCCTACCTCCATATGCCTGTCTTGGGCCCATATCTCTGAATACCCTTGTTTAACAAAAATTTGTCTATCTGAAATTTAAATGTAACAATTGAAATTGCATTTACTGCCATTTGAGGAAAAGAGTTACAAACCTCTGCTAATCTTTGTGTGTCGAAGCACTTTCTAGTATCTCTCCTGAATGGCCTGGCCTAATTCTCAGACTATGCCACCTGGTTCTAGAATCTTCAGCCAGTGGAAATAGTTTATCTTTATCTACACAGTTAATATTCTGAAGACTTCAATTAGACCACCCCTTAACCTTCTAAATTCTGGAGAATAAAGGCCTAATTTGTCTAACCTCTCCTCATAATTTAACCCTGAAGTCCAGGTAACATTCTTGCAAACGTGCGTTGGACTCGGTCCAAAAACAAACATCCTTCCTAAAGTGTGGTGCCCAGATCTGCTAACAATACTCTTAGGTGCAGTCTAACCAGGGTTTTGTATAACTGCAGAATAACGTCTGCATCCCTATACTCCAGCCCTTCATATATAAAGATGTGCATTCCATTGGCCTTCTTGACTATTTCGGCACCTATTCATGGTATTTTAAAGATCTATGCATCTGAACCGCCAAAACTCATTGGATATCTACAGTATTTAACTTTAAACCTTCTGAAAAAACACCCTGATCTATTGTTTTTTGGTCCAAAGTGGATAACCTTACACTTTTACTTATATTAAAATCCATCTGCCACAGCTTTGCCCATTTACCTATTCTCCTAATATCCTGTTGTAATTTTATGTTGTTGTCAACACTGTCTACAATGCTGCAAAATTTCATGTTGTCAGCAAATTTGGATATTTGACTTTTTATGCCATTATCCAAGTCTCTAATGAATATTGTGAATGACTGAGCCCCCAACACAGATTCCTATGGGACACTACTGCCAATTTGAGTACTTACCCATTATTCTAAATCCTTGTGACTTCAGGCTGCACCCATAACTCTCATTATAATGCTATAGTAAGGGCACTGTGCACTCAGGCACACACATCCAGACTTGACCAAGCTGCATTTTCACTTGCTGTCATTCGGCTCACCCACTCTGAGCCTACCTGGACACTGCAGCATCCCTGACTTACCTTTCCTTTTAACATCTTGCCGCTTGGCCAGAGAATAACACGCTCATACTATTGCTGTTTTATCCTACTGTTTAGAACAGACACAAAGCCAGGAATCTTGTCTTTGGCTGTCAGGAGTTGTCAGTTAAGTCAGATAGTCTTTGCTCTGGGATCATAGAGTCATAAGAGTCATACAGCATGGAAACAGATCCTTTGTCTAATTTGTCCTTGCCGACCAAGTTTCCCAAACTAAGCTAGTTCCATTTGCCCGTGTTTGACCCGTAACCCTCTAAACCTTTCCTATTCATGTACCTGTCGAAATGTCTTTTAAACGTTGTAACTGTACCTGCATCTAACCATTTCCTTTCGCAGTTCATTCCACATGCGAACCACTCACTGTGTGAAAATGTTGCCCCTCAGGTCCCTATTAAATCTTTCCTCTCTCACTTTAAACCTATGCCCTTTAGTTTCGGACTCTCATACCCTGGGGAAAAATTTTTGGCTATTCACTTTATTTATGCCCCTCATGACTTCATAAACCTGTATAAGGTTATCTCTCAGTCTCCTATTGTCCAGTGAATAAAGTCCCAGTCCATCCAGCCTCTCTTTAATTCAAACCTTCCAGTCTCAGTAACATCCTTCTAAACCTTTTTGCACACTTTCCAGTTTAATGACATCCTTCCCTTGGCAGGGCGACCAGAATTCTGTGCAGTGCTCTAAATATAGCCTTACCAATGTATTGTACAACTGTAACATAGTGTCCCAAATCCTGTATTCAGTGCTCTGACTGATGAAGGCAAGCATGCCAAACACCTTCTTCACCATCCTGTCTACCTGTGAACCACTTTCAAGGAACTATGCACCTGCACCCCTAGGACTCTCTGTTCGTCAACACCCCCCAGGCCCTACTATCAATGGGAATGTCCTGCCCTGGTTTGCCTTACCATAATGCAACACCTCATATTTATCTAACTTAAATTCCATCTGCCATTCCTCAAGATCAAGATCCCGTTGTACTTTTAGATAACTTTTTTCACTGTCCACCAAGTTTGTTGTCATCTGTAAACGTAGAATCCAGGCCTCCTATATTTTCATCCAAACTTTTTGTATAATTGACAAACAACAGTGGATCCAGCACTTTGCAGCACACTGTTGGTCACAGGCTTCCAGTCTAAACAACAACAACCCTCCACTACCACCCTCTGTCTCTGACCATCCAGCCAATTTTGTATCCAATTGGATAGCTTTCCCTCGATCCCCCATGAACTAACTTTACTAACCATTCAAAGGCCTTGCTAAAGTCCATGTAGACAAAGTCTATCACACTGTTCTCATCCATCTTCTTGGTTACCTCTTCAAAAAACTCACTCAAGTGAGACATGATTTCCCACACACTATCCCTAATCAGTCCTGTTCTAAATACATGTAGATCCTGACTCTCAGAATCCCCTCCAACAACTTACCCACCAGGGATATTAGACTCACTGATACATAGTTCCCGGTCATTTCCTTGCAGCCTTTCATAAATAATGGCACATTATTAGCCACCTTCCAGTCTTCTGGCACCTCACTTGTGGCAGTTGATAACACAAATATCTTCGCTAAAGGCCCGGCAATGTCCCGGGATACACCTGATTAGGTCTCGGGGATTTATTTATTTATGTGCTTTAAGACCTCTAGCACCTCCTGTTGTAAGATTCTGATTTAGAAATAGATTGCAGTTCCTCCACAGTCTCTGATTCATAATCATGGAACATCATTATTGTTTTATTCATTCCTGGGCTGATGACATCGCTCGCTAGGCCAGCATTTATTGCCATTCCTAATTGCCCAGAGGGCAGTTAAGAAGCAACCTGTGCATCTGGAGTCACATGTAGGCCAGACCAGGTAAAGATGGCATTAGTGAATCAGATAGGTTTTTTCAACAATTGACAATAGATTTGTGGTCATCATTTAACTCTTAATTCCAGATTTTTATTCAATTCAAATTCCATTATCTGCTGTGGCAGGAATCAATGCTGGGCATCTGCAATAATTTGCTCCCTGGAACATTACTTGGCACTCTGCATTAACAGTGCAGCGATAGTACTAATAGACCATCACTTTCCCCTGCATTATTACTGCAGCTAGGCCATAGACACCAGTGGTTTGAAAAGGCCTCTCAAGGATAATCAGGGATAGATTACAAACTTTTGCCAGTGACACCCACATCCTGTGTATGAATCAATAATTCACTTGTAACGTGGACTGAGATTGGATTCTAACAGAAACTGAATTTTTTGAGGCCACTGCATTAGAGGGATTGCCCTCACGGTAATTTTGAATTCAAATTGAAAGGTTGAGGATTTCCAGAATATCAAAGAACTGTCAGAAACTTTTCTCAAGCCTTAACAGAGACGCTCGCCCCTTTTATCGCCTATTGGCCAGCGTTGTAGTGATCTGTATCACGATTGGCTAATATATCACCACCCCGCGGTATTATTGGCTCATAAGGATGTCAATCAGAAACAATCCATTGTCCAGGAGGCAGGTTAAGGCATGTGCCCCGCCCCATTGCGGTCTCTGATTGGGCGGTACTGGGACAGCGTGGATTCGGATTGGCTGTAATCGCTGTCAGTCAGTGGGTGACCGTGGATTGGATGGCCGTGCCGGTATGGGCCGAGTGGCTGTGTCAGTGGCGGGGATGTGAGCGGCGTTTATCGGCTGTGGGTTAACAGGAAGGAGGGGAGCTTGGCCCACCGGGACCATGCAGTCAGTGCTGGCTTATGGCCGCCTAGTGGCCCGGGCTGTTCTGGGAGGCGGCGTGAGGCAGACGGAAAGGCGGGAATACCGGCTCATCACCGTCAGCTGCGGCTTCGGCAAGGACCTCCGCAAGGGCAGCGGCACCGCCGCCAAGGGCAGCGGTTACGGAGACGATGCGTGCTTCGTGGCTGCTCACCGGCTGGCAGATGTACTGGGTAAGGGCCTAGGGGTTTGGCCGGGTCCCCCTCACCTTCAGAATTCCCCCGCCGTCATTGCGGACTCCCTGCCCTTCAGAACGCCCTCGCCCTCCTCACGCCCACCCCCCTTTCGCCCCGTGCCCTCCCCACGCCCCCCCCCCGCCGCCCCCCCCCCCCCCCCGTCTACCCTCTGCCCCCTGCCCATCGACCCGACCCCACCCCGCTTCCCCCCTCCCCCACCTGCACATTGATGCCACCACTCCCATGCCTGTTGCTCCACCCTCATACACACACGCTCCCCTTTCTCCTTCCACTGTTTCTTTCTTGCCCCCTCCCCCCCGAATTTTTTCCCTTCCGGTCTTTTTTTTAAATTTTCCCCATTGCTGTGATCCCTTAGTCCCTGGATTCCACCCTCCCCCCTCGCTCCCAGGATTGTTGTTCTGGTTGTCCCACTCACACTTTGTCTGTCTGTGCTCCCCCATTCCCATTCCCATTCCCAGATTCCTTCCCATTTCTTTCCTTTCTCCAGACCTCCTCCACCCTGATTTTCTCCTGACTCCTAATACTCCTGAAAGCCCCTTCCACCTTTCCCTGACCCCTGATTCTCTCGCCTTACCTCACCCTCCAATTCCACTTGACCATGCCTTGCTTCACACCTCTGCTCACCCACTCTAGTGATGCATCTATACACTTTTATCCTGTCACTCATGCACCACTCCCATAACCTCCTTATTCCTTCCACAGACTTAAAACCCCCTCAGTACATGCATATCCACTATTTCCCCATCATCTACCTGTTTCCACATTTCTCTGCATGTAATCCCCTCTCCTTCTACCTCAACCTAGTCCCCTTGTCGTCTCTCCCTAATGCCCTTTCGGATCTAACTCTGCTGACTTGGTTGGCCTATAAAACGCCTGACCCAGGTGGTAATGTTCAGTCTAACTGTGCGTGACTGTTGAGTGTGTCTCTCTGTAGTGTAGATAGTTTTACAGTTTTCTTGAGGGGATCATTGCTTTATAGTTAATGAAATTCTGTTTCTTGAGGTTTTAAAACTGTCTCTGACCACATGATCTGCAGAGACCTGTCCCAAGCAGCAACACACTTTCAAATGTGATGGATCCTTACAGCTGAATTCACAGTGATTAAGAATGCATTAACAAACTACGAAATGATTCAAGTTCTGGGCCAGGTTACAGGCAACTTAATGAATCTTAACTGAAGCAACGAATTCAAATACTTGGCTGGGGGTGGATGATGTTCAGGTATATTAAAATGTTGTTGAGCAGATCTTGATCCAACATGTTGAAGCACTTTTCTGTAACAACAGTAAAATACTACAGATGCTACAATCTGAAACAAATGCAGAATACTGGAGAAACTTAGCAGGTTTGTTGAGAGAGAAACAGAATTGACATTTTGAGTCCCGCATGACTACTTCAGAACTGAAAGGTGTTGGCAAATCGGGTTTTAAAAAATATTTCTGACAGGTACCATTTACCTCGCTCTCTCCTCCAAAAGATAGCAGCATTGATGGTGCAGCAGTCGGAGTCATAGAGACATACAGCACGTAAACAGACCCTTCAGTCCAACTTGTCTATGCTGACCAGATGTCCTATATTAATCTAGTCCCATTTGCCAGCATTTGGCCCATTTCCCTCCATAAACTTCCTATTCGTCTAGCCATCCTTTTAAATGTTTTAATTGTACCAGCCTCCACCAATTCCTCTAACAGTTCATTCCATACACGCACCAACCCCTGCATGAAAACGTCGCCCCTTAGGTCCCTTTTAAATCTTTCCAGTTTCATCTTAAACCTATGTTAGTTCTGGCCTCCTTTACTCAAAGGAAGAGACCTTGACTATTCACCTATCCATGCCCCTCATGATTTTATAAATTTCTATAACTCCTCAGCCTTTGACACTTCAGGGAAAATAACTCCAGCCTATTCAGTCCCTTCCCTATAGCTTAAACCCTCCAACCCTGGCAATGTCCTTGTAAATCTTTTTTGAACCTTTCACATTTCGCAACATCTTTCCTGTAGCAGGGAGACCAGGATTGAATGTAGTATTCCAAGAGTGGCCTAACCAATGTCCTGTACAGCCGCGACATGACTTCCCAACACCTATACTCAATTCCCCTTCAGTACTGCACTAGAAAATCAGCTTAGACTTTTTTTGTGCTCAGATCTCTCCTACAGGACTTGAGTGCACAATCTCTGTCTTAAAGATGAGGATGCTTATATGTTGAGCCGCAGCTAGCATTCAGAGTGACCTGACACGGAACTGTAGTGTTGACTGATTTGCTATGAATTTAACTGGCATGCAGGACAAAAAATCACCAGGTACCTTGATGTGTACAGCTTTGGAAGCATAAGTGTACAATGGGAAACATGAGTTTGCAGAGACTGCTCACGTTTAAGATACATGGTGATAATTTTTCAGTTCTCGAGGGGATCATTGCATTGCAGCTCTTGTGTGAGTTTCTATTTCTTGGTTTTAGAACTGGCTCTGACCACATGATCTGCACAAACCTGTCCCAAGCAGCAGCTCGTTTTCTTGTATGCAGAGTTCTGAAGATGGATTATTCTGATTATTCTTCACAGATGCTGCCAGACCTGCAGAGATTTTCCAGCAATTTCTGTTTTTGTTTTGTTTTCTTGTATATGGATCATTTTACAGTTGAATTCACACTGAATTAGAATATATTAATGAACTATGAAGTGATTCTAGTTCCTGGGATGGGTTACAGGCAGTTTAATATGAGATTAAATAAATTGGACCGAAGGTGCACCAAAAATTGAGTTTTGAGAAGGTAAATTTGGATAAATTATCTCCATGTGTCATTGAATCGTAATTAAAGGACTTCTTGTTTATTTGCTTGCCCTTTAGTGCGAAAGTTCTTCATTTGTTGTGTTTGGAAGTGTTCTGATAGATATGTAGGTGACTGCTGAGGTCTGTCTGTACCTGGAGGATTCTGCTGCAGATATGAGAGAAACCACAGGTGGTTGTTTTGAACAAGGTGCTGGTTTGGGATTCTCCCTCCTTGTAATTTCTCTTTGCTTTCAAAGGAGAGCATGCCTTTTTTTTTATTTGATTGTGCTGGGTATAGTCATCCTGGGTAAGCTTTTCCCAGGAATTGAAGTGAATATCAAAACTGCTAAGTGAAGCTGTGAGAGCATCCTTGTAAATTTCCTTTTTACTGCTATGAATGTGCATCCCAGACTTGAACTTTCTGTAGAAGATGGCTTTGGTAAACAGATGTCAGAGTTCTGGCTGCGTAGCCAGCCTAACTCAGTTAGCATCAAAGAATCATGGAAGTGTACAGTGCAGAAGGAGGCCATTTGACCCATCGTGTCTATACTGGCTCCCAAAAGAGCTAACCAGCCCAGTCCCCCTCTTCATCCCTATCTCCGTAGTGACCATCTCAATATCAGGAACAAAAATAGAAGTTGCTGGAAAAGCTCAGCAGGTCTAGCAGTAACTGTGTGAAGAAAAGAAATCAGTGTTAACATTTCGGGTCTGGTGACCCCTTGGATCCCAAAACGTTAACTCTGCTTTCTTTTCTTCACAGATACTGCCAGACCTGCAGAGCTTTTCCAGCAACTTCTGTTTTTGATCCTGATTTACAGCATATGCAATTCTTCTGGTTTTTATCGACTATCCCCATATGTTGCAGATGTTTGGCAAACCAAAATTTATTCTGTACATGGCTATTCAGACATCTAATCCATAATAGCCTTTAAATTTAAGCAGGTATAGGGACAAGATGAAAAAATGAATTTCTCCTTAAATTTAGTTTCTTTGGCTCAGCAATTGATGCTCCTTTTCTCCCTTGATATTACCATTAGCTGAATGCCAAACTTTGACTAGTGCTTTAAGTGTCTTGGGATATTTGTCGCTATTTTAAGAACTTACCAGGTGAAGCTGTGCTTTAATTTTGAAGTGACTCCCAGCCACATTACAGGTATTTCTCCTATAATGCGATTGTTGCGTTCTTGTGTGACCTCGCACTATAGAAAATCGCGTTGTGGGAAATCACTACACCTGTGCAGAGGAAAGTTTACATTATCCAAACAGCGTCCGCTATTCATCAATCGTGTTACAGCCAATTCACGTTAATGAAACACATGTTATAGCAGAAATACCTGTAAATCATCCAAGGTGCTGTTCAGAAAGTTCTATATTTTTGGCTCAGTGTTATGATCCTGAACAAGACCTTTGTGATCTCGTTGTGAACCAGTTTTCTTTTGTTTAAACTAGACAAAGTTTGAAATCCCAAGCACGTATTAAGAGAATAAAGCCATGAGATTCCACAGTTTTGAGCAAACGATCTAAACTTTACTGTATAAGGAAAGAAAAATAAAACAACCTGTAATATGTAATCCAACAATTAAGATTAATATGAAGTAAATGTGTTACCAAACTTGTGTTGCGTACTTCACAAACCGTACTTTGTGTGATGATGCAGTCAGAACAGATCCCACTCCGATGTTACTGAAGTTGTGAACAAATTCTCATTGGAGACTCTACCAATGCAATTAAATCTGCAAGTGTGGTAACCAGTATTGTACACGGTACTCCAGATTCAGTCTCACCAATGCCCAATAACTGAAGCATAACACCTCTACTCTTGTATTTAATTCCCCTCACAATAAAACAAGATTTTGTTAACTTTCCTGATTATTTGCTGTACCTGTGTATTAAGCTGCTGCAAGTCATAAACCAGGATATCTAAATCTCTGCATTTCAGAATTCTGAACCCTCTTACCATTTTAGATAACATGCTGGGCTGTCGATTATAATTTTTAGTTTTTTGTCACTCTTCTACTCTCTTAAAACAACAAACTTGAATGGTTAAACAACCCTTAGTTAAGTAACATTATCTGGGGTGATATACCCAACTCCTGCAGTCCCAACAGTCTTTAAAGGCCTCTACTGTGCCGGTGGATGGTACATATTCCCTCTTGATGGGCATCCTAGTGTGGATGTTGACTTACCTAAACTGATACTTGCTTGAC